GTCAGAGCAGTCCTCTCCCCGCCCAGCTGCATCAGCATTTCTAAGTCTTGCCAAGCTTTGGTTGTCTCCAAGGCCAGTTATCCCTCCTGTGTGGTGACAGGTAAATGACACATAAAAATACCCCCAGGTATTTAAGACGCTTGGCAGCATACACGGGCTTTTCCTCATGTTCTCTCAGATCCTTCGAGGGGAGTGCTGTTGGGTGGGCAGGAGGTTCTGGGCTCCCCGTAGCCCCCACCTGCCCCTGGGCGCGAGTAGCTTCCCCAAGAGCCCCACACGGCTCGGCCTGGCTCCCGCCTCCTGCTCTCCGCTCTCGAGGGTCAGCCACCGACGCCGGGTGTCTGGAAGTAGGACCGGGTGCTACTTTCAAAACGCCGGCTTACGGGTGGCCGGGAACTTCCCACGGGTTTTGCATCTCTGAAGGGTCGTCAGCCGCGAACACTGCACTCAAGATAAACCACCATGGCATTTATCTTGTGCCAAGATTCTGAATTTATACATTAACTGCTTTCAAATTATTTAATTAAATTTAAAAGTTCATGTGATCGTTCATAAAGAGTTCATGCCTGGAATTGTAAATGAAAATGTGAGTGTCTGAATGTATTAATTATTATTAATTAATAATGTGGAGAAAGAAGTGAGACTTGGAAAGCAGAATTCTCTCTGTTGTTTTTTTAATCTCTCTGCAGTGCACCCAGCAGCCACATATTTTTTAAAGGAATAATTAGCTGTGGAGGCTGTCTGGGGGGTCATTACCTCTAGTTAACTTGGTTATTTACTGTAAATTAGGCGCCGTTTGTAAGCAGGCCGCTTTGCCGGCAGTGTCTGTGCTCTCCGGCTGGGCCGTCTGAGAAGAGAGAACCTTGCTAGGAGCGTTTCCTCTGGGCTGGTCCCACCGGTGGAGATGTCACCGTGCAGTGGGTTTGGGGAGCCCCCAACCCTGCCAGCTCTGTAAGTGGGGACAAGAGGAGCTCGGCCCTCCTGGGCACGCCAGTTCGAGCCTGTCGAGCGTTTAGCTTGGCGGTGTCGAGGGTCAGCACAGCCTCGCAGGCAGTCGGTTAACTCACCTGTGCCTTCAGGTCTGAACACGAGGGGAACTGTGGTGTTTCTAACGGTCCCTCCAATGAGAATCCCTGCAAAGACTTGAGAGTCAAAACCTGCACCACAAACATATTCTACTGGTTCTCAATTTTGTACCCCCCCTCCCAGGGGACATTTGGCAAAGTCTGGAAATATTTGTGGTTGTCACAACCTGGGAGGTGCTGCTGGCACCTGGTGGGTGGGGGCCAGAGCTGCCGCCCAGATCCTACAATGCACAGGACAGGCCCCGCAGCCAGGACCCAGCGGCCCCAGGATCAGGAGGGCGCGGGCGCCAGCCCTGCCGCGGCTGGCGGCGGTTTCAGGGAGGCTGGGCTCCTGAGGGCAGCCTGTTGGCTCAGCCCCTGGTCGGGGTGGAGTCTATCTGCAGGTGGGAAGGTGTCACGGGGACGCCTCTAGCTGACCTTGGGCGCTGGATGGTCTGGGTCCCTGGCAGGAGGCAGGGCTGGGCAGGGAGACCCCGTTTTGATGTGGGCAGCCGGGGAGCAGGCACGGCCTGGGCCTCAGCTGGAAGGCAGCTCCCCTGGGCAGGGCCTGGCGACCCCCTTTCCCGGCCTCCTTACCTGCCCTCACTCCCTCTCCCCGTGCTCCGTGCTCGGGCAGGAGGTGGCCGGGTTTGACGTTCAGTGGCTTTGGCGTGGGGGTTTTGCCCTGTGCGGTCGCCTCAGTGTTGGCGATGCTCCCGTGTCCCCACTTCTTTGTTCATCCAGTGCCAGGGCGCAGGAGGGCGCATAGCTGCAGCCACCCCTCCCGGGCCTGTTGGATGGCTGCCTCTGTGGGGACTCCCAGCAAAGTTGGTGTCACTGGAATGCAGCTGCAGATCATTGTAACCAATTCCCGAGTCCTTTGGAAGCCCCGAGGGCTGCGTGGCGCGGTGTGGTCATCAAAGCCCATCCTGCCCCTAGGAGGCCGGCCTGGTCCGGCTTCAGGTTAGAGGCCTGGCCAGCAGGGGTTCAGCTGGGAAACACCCCGATGCAGTGGTGCACATCGTGGGTCCTGGGACCAGCCCCCCACAAAGCAGCCAGCCAGCCCCTCCCATCTGGGTGCCAGGCCCGAAGCCTAACCCCTTCCCCGCAGCCTCGCCCTGCTCGGCAGGCCCAGGCCGGACACAGGAGGTTTCCACGGAGCTGTGAGGAGAGGGAGAGTCCTGCTGGGGAAAGAGCCCCGCACGGTGCGGAGCGGCTTCCCTCTCTGGGACCTGTGTTAATTCTCCTTCCTCCTGTCTTCCAGCTCTGACCTACGTCCAAACCAACCATCGATCCAACGCCCCGTTCACCCCGAGGGTGCTGCTCTGCGGGCCCCCGGGCAGTGGGAAAAGCCTGCAGGCCGCCCTCCTGGCCCAGAAATACGGCCTCATCAACGGTGAGTGCCCGGCCCGCCGCTTCCACGGCCTCCCCAGCGCCCGCCCTCCAGAGCGCTCCAGGGTATGGGGGTGGCAAGGAGGGACCAGTGTCGCCTCTCCCTTGCTCCCTGCTCTGAGCAGTTTTCAGGGAGTCCACCTGTGCAGGGACAAGGTCCCCTCCTCCCAAGGGCAATGCTGTGAACACACTGCCCAGTGAGGACAGGGCCGGGGCCCGGGAGCCGGGGCAGTTTCTAGCCGTCCTTTATTGCCCCTGCCGCAGTGGTTTCCTGTGCTCCGCGCCAGGGGGGCCTCCCACCAGCGCCCCAGTCTCCTCGAAGCCTGAGCCAGCTCCTGCGTTATAGGGCCTGCTGTTTGTTTATACTCCCTGGTCTCCTTTGGCTCCCCAACCCAGGTCAGTGTGTTTACAGGCAAACAGTTTCTGAACCAGAGGAAGGCTCGCTCTGCACAGTTTCAATAAATATTTCACCAGGAGGAGAGAGAGTATTGAAGTCAGTCCTCCAGGTCCTTCCCAGGTGGTCCCCGGCTTGGATGCCAGCCTGTCTTCAGGGGGGAGGGGCTGCAGAGGACCCGGCGCGGCTGGGGGAGTTCGGGCGCCGGCCCCAGCCAGCGCTTCAGCAGCCTAAATAGCCTCCGCTGCATTTACGAAAAAACAGGAACCTGCACCCCAGCATATAAATACATGCTCCCCCAATTATGCATACACACCACACCGATAAGCGTGTATACACACACACACGCACACACGTACACCACCCCAGAAGGATCACGTTTTCAATAAAAATGCTTTTCAATTATGCCTCCCACAACTTAAAATTCCGAAGACACTGAGACTAGCTAGGAATTAGTGACAAAAATCATACCCACAGAATGAAGACAGAGAACTGAGCCAGTCATTCCGATTCGTAAGGAAACGTGCGAATGGTAGTGATGTTAGTATTTTGCTAAAATTTCTAAGCGGTCATATTCTCATTGATTAGTGTGGAAAAATAGTCCAGACACTTTAGGATTAAAAATGCTTTTGCTGGCATCAGTGGGTTTTTTTAAACCATCACTCAGAGAATTTCTTCTCCTTTGATTCCCCCCCTTTAAGAGCATTAGACTGAATTTCCAGCTCTGGTTGGCTTTTCGTGGGAAGGAGCAGCAGTCGGCTTGCAAGCGGCTGCACGTGTGTCGGGCTGCAGGGCTTCCTGCCATGTGGGGGGACGTGAGGGTGGGTCTCACAGCAGAGGGTGGCTGAGCCCCAGCCAGCAGCCCTCACCGTAGCCCCGCTTTGCTTAAGTCGCCCTCACCGCATCTTATGTTGTTCATGCAGACACTCTCACTCAAGACAGCTTCTCTTTAATCTTATTTTTCCATTGCTTTTCTAGAGAGAGAGTGGAAGGGGTGGGGGAGAGAAACATCGATGTGAGAGAGACACATAGGCCGGTTGCCTCCCGAATGTGCCCCGACCTGGGGCGGGGAGCGAACCTGCAGCCCAGGTATGTGACCCTGACGGGGAATCGATGCTCAGGTGCGCAGGCCGATGCTCTCACCACGGAGCACGCCGGCCAGGGCATTAATTTTATTTTTCAGTTGCAGTTTACATTCAACATTATTTTGTGTTAGTTTCAGGTGTGCAGAATGGGGGTTAGGCAACCGGGTAAGGAAAAGCAATGTTTCAGGTAAATTGTTTTCGGTGCACCAATGAAGAAGTGAAATTACCAGGCTAGATCTTTCTAAAAATGAAACTAGAAAAGCTCATCAGGGCTTTTGCTTTGTCCCAAAGAGCCATTTGGGGGCGAATCTTCTCGAAAATTGAGCATTTGGAGACCAATTCAGAAAGTTCTCATTTCTCCAAGGTGCTCTTGATAAACGCAAGACATCACGAGCTTCCCATAAACCGATTTAAGGGGACTGCTGTTAACAAGACGAACACCGCGCGGTCCGTAGAGGTTTGCGGAGGCCTGTCTGCGCCCGGAGCCCCTGGCACTGCCGCCCCGCAGGGCCACCCCCTGGCTGGGTCTTCATCTCCGCATTTATGAGCCTCTCAGTCCTGGGAAAACACCTCCAAACAGACACACACCCCAGCGCCCACTCCAACAAGGTTTACTGAAAGTCTCCCGGCTACAGTGGGCAGGGATACGAGCGGGCGCAGTGTTTTGACAGAAAGGCCACTGTTGATTAAGATGCTCTGTTGATTAAGACCCTCTGCCCGGTGCCTTCACTCCTGGGCTTTCACGTTACTGAAGCACTCATTTATCGTGCACTGTCCACAAAAAGAGACGTCAGAGGGCCAGTTACGTCAGTCCGGCTCAACGCAGGCAGCCGAGCACCGGGCAGCCGTCCACCAGGAACCCGGAGAGCGACTTGCTGTCCGGGCGCCTTGTTAAGCGAGGGCGGGCGGAAAGCGACCTGCTCAGCAGTGTCAGGGGCGGCCTCATTTTTGTTCAAAAAGCGTGCTGGTCTATGCCCAGAAAAAAACCTGGTTATTTCTGTAGAGTGGTGTATGACCCAGCTCTGATTTGTTTTGTTTTGTTTTGCAATGAGCATGAATTTTCTAACCAGAGACAACCACAAAGGATTTCCTTAAAATATTAATGGTTCGCTACAGCGCTGAATGTAGTTCACGTTACCGGGTGCACAGAGCGGACACGCGTGAAAAAGTAGGAGGGGAACCTGAGGGTGCAGCGTGGCCCTGGCGGGCCGGCCTGGGCCTGGGGAGTGAGCAAAGCGAACTGCGGCTGACCCCACACCGCTGCGGGGCCGACTGCGCCCCAGCCTCGGTCCTTTGAACCTCCCGGAGAGAGACCGTCACTGCCTGTTCTTCAGGGAGCCCGGTGGCGCCAGGCGGCTGTGGCAGGGGCTCTAAGCCGTTCCTCCCCAATACAAGCAGTGAGCACTACATGCCCGCCCCCGACCCTTCTCGCAGCATTTTAGGAGGTTCTGTTTTGTCAGCCGGTTCAGAGTATTTTCTAATCTCCCTCGTGGTTTGTTTCTTGACCTATGTATTATTTAGAAGTGGATCGCTTCATTTCCAAATATTTGGGGATGTTCCAGGTTTGTTCTTGTTACTGATTCCACACTTAATTCTGCTGTGGTCAGGAACACACCCTGTGCGATTTCAGTCCTCTGAAACGCATCGGTACTTTTTTACGGCCCCGCACGTGGTCTGTATTGGTGGCTCCCACAAGCCCTGAAAGGAATGTGTGTCCTGGTGCTGTTCACAGTGCCCTACAAACGTTAATCAGGACAAGGCGTTTGGGAGCGCTGTTCAGATCTGTGTTTTTCACGATCCCTCCTCTCTCGTTGTTTCAGTTACTGAGGGGGTGCGTTAAAATCCGCAACTCTGTGGTTTTGCCTGTTTCTCTGCCAGCCTTCGCTCCGTGCAATTGGAAGCTACCGTATTAGGTGCACATACAGCTAGGATTTCCCTGTCTTCTGGGTGAAATGACCCTTTTGTCGTTAGGAAATGTCCCTGTGCGTCTAGTAATATACTCACTTCCCTGACGTCTGCTTTGGTATTAGTGCGGCCATGCCAGTGTCTGGATGGTATCTCTTGGGAACTTTTTCTTTTAAACTGTCCATGTCTGATATTTTAACTGTGTCTTGTAGACAACACAGAGCTGGGTCTTGCTTTCTAAAAAACTAGCCTGATATTCTTCTGCCTTTCTGTTCCGTCCATGTCCACGTAAAGTAATTTTCATACAGTGGGGGCAGGTCTGCCACCCGGGTTTTTTCATCTGTTTGTGTTGTCCTTTGTCTGTTTCTCCTCCCCTGCTAACTTTTGGATTACCCGGATATTTTCTATTATTTATTATTTTTTTATTTATCTTTATTGTTGAGAGTATTACAGGTGTCCCATTTTTCCCCCCAATTGACCCCCTCCACTTCGCTCCCATCCCCTCCCCAGGCCTTCACCCTGTCATTGACTGTGTCCATGGGTTATGCCTATATGCATATAACTTCTTTGGTTAATCTCTTCCCACCTCCCACACCCCCTTCCCTCTTTCCTCTGAAATATGATCGTCTGTTACATGCGTCAATGTCTCTGGATCTATTTAGTTCATCAGATTGTTTTGTTCATTAGCTTCTTCTTAAATAAGACCCTTCAACTTTTCCCGTAGTGCTGGTCTGGTGGTGATGAACTCCTTTTGCTTTTCCTTGTCTGAGAAGCTCTTTATCTGACCTTCAATACTAAATGATAGTTTTGCTGGGTAGAGCAATCTTGGTTGTAGTTCCATGTTTTTCATCACTGTGTATATTTCTTGCCACTCCCTTCTGGCCTGCAAGGTTTCTGTTGAGAAATCAGCTGACAGTCATATGGGTGCCCCCTTGTAGGTTACTAACTGCTTTTCTCTTGCTGCTTTTAAGATTCTCTCTTTGTCTTTAACCTTTGGCATTTTAACTATGATGTATCTTGCTGTGGGCCTCTTTGGGTTCCTCTTGTTTGGGACCCTCTGTGCTTCCTGGACTTGTAAGTCAATTTCTTTCCCCAGGTAGGAGAAGTTTCCTGTAATTATTTTTTCAAATAGGTTTTCAATTCCCTGGTCTCTTTCTTCCCCTTCTGGCACCCCAATAATACGAATGTTGGGCCTCTTGCAGTTGTCCCAGAGGCTCCTTATACTATCTTTATATTTCTGGATTCTTTTTTCTTTTTGCTCTTCTGGTTGGGTGTTTTTTGTTTCCTCATGTTCCAAATTGCTGATTTGATTCTCAGCATCCTCCACTCTACTGTTGATTCCCTGTAAATTATTCTTCATTTCAGTTTCTGTGGCCTTCATTTCAAATTGGTACTTTATTATGTCATTGATGGTCTCAGTTGTTTCCTTAATAATCTGCTTAAACATCCTTATAAACAGAATTCTGAACTCTGTATCTGTTAGCTTGCTTGGGTCTATTTCATTTAGTTCCTCTTCTAGAGATTTCTTCTGTTCTTTCCTTTGTGACATGTTTCTTTGACTCCACATTTTGGATGCTTCCAGGTGTTTGTTTCTATGTATTGGGTAGAGCTGCTATGTCTCCGGGAATTCGTAGAGTGGCTTTGTGTAGTAGGTGTCCTGTAGGGCCCAGTGGCTCAGCCTCCCC